CCCATACCTTCTTCTTTTCCTTCTTTTGCTACTAAAAAATTGTTCGTTCACTATTTATGGATTATTAAGAATTGATGATTATTCTATTATTATCTTATTGTTGTTGTTGTTGTGTTGAAGATTGACGTTATTTCGGGGGCGAAATTCCTTAAGGGGGAGAGATTTTGGCAACTTGCCTCAGGTGACCGCTCGAGCAGTGGAAATACTACTCGAGCAAAGATAAGGTGCTTCCAGTAGTTTGTTTTCTAGGTCGAAAGACCGCTTGAGCGAAGATAAGGGGTTCCCAGTATCTCATTTTGTAGGCAGAGATATTGAGAGGTCTCAAACCGCTCAAGCGGTATGCGCAAGTTTAGAAACTTAAAAGTCACTTTTTAGATCATTTCTTTCACTTTGTTTTTCTCTCTTCCTTCTTCTCTCTCAAATTTTGAAAACCCTAGATTTCCCTCCCTATATATCTCTTATTCCACTAAGATTCAAGCCTAAATCCCTTGCAAGAAGTGGAGTGTATATAAAGATCTTACTTTCTACTAATTGGATTTCGATTCTACAAATGATTCTTCCTAAAGTCTAGTCTTCTTGCACTTTTCTTAAGATAGGGCTACTTTGAACTTAGTATCTCTTTATTTTGAAGATAATTATGTGGTATTGTTGTGACCATAATACTTTATTTTGTTGATTGAGCAAAAGTTGAGTTTTTGTTCAACAAAAAGGGATTTTACCAAAATTTTATCAAGATTTCAAATAAATTCTTATGGATTATGAGTATTGATGTTGAGAACTCCCACATATATGAAGAGGGCATAAAGACCCCAAATTTGTTAAAAATCCTAGTTTTGATTTTGATAAAAAAAATAATGTTTGGATGGAATTGATTTTCAAATCATGAAAGCTATTAGACATTAGACATAAATAAGTGGATAACTAGATTTTTTAGTACATTATTAATGTATGTTGAACTGGGATTGGTGGATTTGGAAATTGAAAATCCATGTGTTGTATATTTGACTATTTATCTCATGTATTTGTGAATGCTTGGTTACTTAGAAGGTGGTGAAAAGGGGGATGTAAATAGTGTATGGGTCGGGGTAGAGAGTCGATTTTTTAGAACAATGTGTTGTGTCAGTATCCGCGCAGGGAATTAAGGTGCCCAAATGTCTTGTCTTGAGCTTATCGCCAGATAAATGTGGAAAAATGTTTTTGGGTATCCACTGGTCCTGCTGTATAATAGTCAACAAAAATGGAAAAATGGATAATTTTGGGTGCCCACCACCTGCCGTATTAATAGTCGGTAAATGTAGGGAATAGTTTTGGTTATAAATCTATATATATATGTTGTATGGGGCCCCTATGAGGGACTCATGGCATATTTACCACCCCGTTTTGAGAAAGGTTTTCAATGGAACAAAGATGCATTTGTTTTTTTCTTGCATTTTTTTTTATTTTTATTTTTGAACATAAACTTTAAATAGAATTTGGGTTGTGATAATGCCATGTGAATGTTCAAATAATTAGATACTTTGTTAAATGTATCTCTATTGGGCATATAGCTCATCTCTATCTAACATTTTCGAGAATTAGTGACGTGCCACCACCTCAGTGAGAGGAAGTAAACTCTTTTGTTTTGATTGGAGCATCGAGGCTCATAGATATTAATGTGGAAGCTCCAAGCTTATTTGCTTAGGACCGTGAGTCTATTTTTGTTGTAACAAGGCAATGCCTTGAATTTTTGTATGCCATTAAGGCCTTCTATTTATATCCTCTAACTTGTTGAACTTTGTCAGGTAGAAGTGTATATAATATGTTGAACACAGAGCTGCAAATGAAAACCTTAGTTCAATGATAAAGAGGACCTTTTGGGGTTAATAGTATTATGATGTTGATGAGATTTTTGGGTTTAACTATGTTTTATTTGATGTTTTGCATTAAATAATTTGGGGGCGTTGCAGAGCATATCCTAACTAGGTTGACAGATGTTCAACTAGTCAATCATGTGCAAGAACCCATGAAAAAAACAATAGTAAGAGTTGGCAAGGGTCCAATAGGAAAAAAAACCTAACCAAAGACAAGGGAAGGAAAATGAAGGGAAAGCAAGTATATTTAGCAACAAACATAGGGATGCTCGAACGTCCTGCACTGGATTCCTCTAAATTCTAAGAATATCCTCAACTAAGTTAAGAAAATGCCAAACAGAAAACTTTTGGATGCCCAAGTGGCTTTTTTCGTTACTAAATATAAATGGAGTGGGTCAAACCTATTAGGCCGGTCCAACTCATCAAGCCCAATACCTAATTAGCCAAACACCAACATGGGCTAGCCACATCAAGTCCAGATCCTCCTGGATCATCTCCTAAGTCCTCAAGCACTTGGAACAAGGCTAACTTATACAAGGGCCTAAGATGGGCCGAACTATATGGGTCAAACCTATAAACCGAACGATATGGGAAAAACCCATAAGCAGAACCTTATGGGTCGAGTCCATCAGCAGAATCGACGAGGGTGGAGCTCACACAAAGTCATCCATATGGGCCTAGCCCATCTCTACAACAACTTCATTGAAGGCCGAACAAGGTTGGGCCAAGGAAACAAGCAGACCAACCAGAGGCCTCTAGTGGCAGGCGTCTAAGCTGTAAGCACGTATGTGCAAATGCCACCTCATGGTCCCCTCTCCAAGAATCAAGAAAACTATTAGGAAAATGAATGTGCAATGATATATATACAGTTCAGGTGGGCATGTATAAGCATGGATGCTCAGCTCAGTGGTTCCCCACCTGAGCTATGACAGAGAATACCAAAAGGCACCAAAGCTCCATCATCCTCACCTTCGAGAGCAAATCAAGTCATCTACATAAGCAACACACCCATTTCAGTGCAAGGTATGGAATTCCCAGCTATCACACATACAAAGACTCTCTTCCCCTCTCTCTGCACATAGGGAGAGACCACATCATTTTCTCTGACTCCTAACTTTCACGCCGGAGGAATTTTCTGGCCAACCCCGATCAAGCAACTCTCACGGTTCTTTCATTTTTCAGGGCTCTTGATTCTTGAATTGTCCAATGCAATCGTAGAGACCCCGATTCATTTATCTAGTGTGGAAACCAAAACACACAACCTCAATTCATAGGCTGATTCTTTTATTCAAATTAGAGGTGTAAACTTAGTTATTAATATGTTTATCTCCCATGCATGAACTTAGATTTTGTTATATATAATTTCTAATTTGTGCTAAAATAAGAAATAAAATAAGGAATGATAGAGGCCTTGTTTGGTTTGTCTCTTGAGAGACAATTTTTGAGAAAAAAATTCAAAAATTTGTTTGATGGAAATTTTTTGAAAACAAAAATTAAAAGCACTTTTCTCTCTCATCTCTCCTTTTCTTACATCCTACACATCAATTAATCACATTTTTTCTTACACTCATCTATAAAAAAATTAAAAAAATAAATTTAAAAAAAAAACAAAAGTAAAAATAAAAACTAAATCATCCAAAAATCTAAAATTCCAAAATTATTTTTAAAACATACAACCAAACAAATTTTTTAATTTTATAAACTCTTTCCAAAAAATTATTTGTCAAAATAATTTCACATAGACCAAACATGACCATAATGTTACGGGCACTTCTATCTTGAATTCAAAATAAAAAGGTAAGTTACACTAACCTTGCTTGAGGTTTTTCAAATGACAAAAATCTTTTTGAAGATTTAGTTTTAAATTACACGGCGTCTCCTAAGATTTAATAAAATTGTAAAAAATTGACACAAATCTCCTTGAGGGTTAGTTTTAAATTACATTGGCCTCACTTGAAATTTAATAAAACTACAGGAACCTCCCATGAGGTTTCTAAAATGATACAAACACCCTTTGAGGTCTAATTTTTTATTACAAATTCCTTCTTTCTATTGCTTTATCTTTATACGAAGTAGCAAAAATTGTTCATATTATCAAATAATTTAACTACATTTTCAATTTACTTTTTAAAATTATTTCCAATTACAAAGAATTTTTTTTAAAAAAATACAATTCATATTTTCTTTCTTGATTATACTTGTAGTTACGGTTTGATTGTGTGTGTCTTTTCATCAAAACACTTATGTTGCTAAGAATATTATGAATCGTCTTTAAGAGATCCTGCAGAATCGATCCCCACAATTGCTATTTTATTTCTAGGAAAATGAGTGATAGCACTAATTAGTGCTACCACTAATGATGTGGCAGTGGCTCCACCATGAATGATTTGATGTTTTGGCCTTGGTGTTGTATTTTTATTTTTATTTTTATTGAATGCCATGTCATTAGTGATCTTTTTAGAGGTCCAAAATTAGTGGTCTCTGTCATTGTTGTTTATTTCTACATCCGTATTCTTTACCCCAAGATTGTGATAGTATATATTGTGCATGCAGGATCTCTGAAAATTAATTTACAACATACTTGGAAACGTGTGGATTCTTGATAAAGGGCATGCATACAATCAATAAACAAAGGAATAAAATAGGAATTGTATTGTTTTTATTTTATTTTATTTTATTTTATTGTAATTGCACACAATTTTAAGGGTAAAATTAAAATGTAATTAAATTATATGATGATATCAACTATTTCTATTATTTATTTATTTGTTTATGATAAATTAACAAAGGGGGAATCTATAAGAAAAGCTAAACATAAAGGGCGATTTCTGTCATTTCAATAATCTCAAGGGAGATTTTTGCAATTTTACTAAATCTCAAGAAATATCAATATAATTTAAAACTATACCTGAGAGGAGATTTTTGTCATTTTAAAAATCTTAGACAAGACAATTTCATTAAATCTGAAGAGAATTGAATGTAATTTATTCATAAATAAAGAAAAGTAAAAGATAGTAGAACTTCAATTATCTATACTAAGAGTGTTTTAGAAAGATGGTTTAAAACTGTTTTTTAACTTTTTTTGTAAGACAGAGAAATGAGTTAAAAAATTGAAAAATAACTTTTAACCTATTCCTCAAAATAGCCCTTCCTACCATGTGTGAAACAGAAATATTCAACGTAAAGAGTTTCGAAAATGATAGAGAGAGAATGGTAAACAGACCTCTAGAATGTCGCCTACATTAACAACAAATGCATCTGGAAGGAAATTCACAGGAATCCAAATCCCATCTTTTTTAATTTGGAAGCCTTCAACTCCATTGACTTGTAGAAGGATGGTGATGCCGGTAGCATCGGAGTGAGGCGTAAGGCCCATCACCATTTCAGGTTGGGGACATGGAGGATAGTATGTCATCCTCACTGATTGCGTTCCATCATCAAACATCTCCTCTATCTCTCCCTTGTTAATCTTTAGAGCTTTTTCCATCAATCCAAAAAGTGTCATTGCAAGTTTTTGCAACTCTGATATGTAAGACTCCAAGGTTTCCCTAAAAACAAAAAAAATTATCCAATACTTAAGCTCTGTTTGGTTTCAAAAAAAAAAAAAGTGACAAACATAAAATATTTTTTCACTATTTAAGCCAAAAACATTTTTGCTTTTCGATGTCCTGACAAAAGTTATATATATATTTTTTTAAACTTTTTGTTTTCAATTAATTTTTTTTATTTTTTATTTTTCAAGTTTTTCTAGTCTAGAAAGATCTAAAAAGATATTTAAAAAAAAAAACACTGAAGATTAAAATAAAATAATAAATCAATTTCCACCTAAACTTTTCTAAAATCAAAATCAACCTTTTATTATTTGTCAAATCAACTTTGTTAGGGATAGCATTAACATAAAAAAGTAAAAGAATGAAATAAAAAAAAAAACAAATAAAAAAATGAAATAAAAAAAAAAGTCTATTTTTCAAACCAACCCTTCAATACATATTTTTTTTTTAATAATAATTATTATTTTGATAAACAAAAAAAGACATTATATTAATGTAATAAACAAGATACCGAAGATTACATAAAAAGCAAAACCACGGTAGAAAGACTACATAGGTAATGAAACATGTCAACTGGATTGGGATACACCACAAATGTTATGTATCTAGGGAAAAGACTAGAAAAAATATTTAGAATTTGAATAGTATATGGTATAGACGGACACATTTTCTGATGTAAGGTTACATCTAAGATTAATCTAATCAATACATCAAATTCTAAACACTCACCTAATTTTTTTATTTTGTAGCATAGTTTTAACTTCACTGGTAGGCAAGGGCGGAAGCAGCATAGGGCTAGGAGGCCACATGCCCCTCAGTTTTGAATTTTTTCTTTTTTGTTAATATGTTATTTGGTTAAGGATTCATTATATTGCTCACAACAAGTAATTATTTGATACTTTGGGAACACTATGTGGTATTATTTACATAGTAGTTTAAATCAATAGTGTAGCGAAAAATATTATAGATTGAATATAATGAACTCATTATTTTCAAGTAGTCGACATATCACTTACTGTGATTTGTGATTAGTGATTTTCTATGCTTTGAGCATCACGTAGGTAACGCCATATGATACTCTAAAGCTGTTTAATAATTTTCATTCAAAACACATCATTTATAAGCAATGTTATCTCTTTAATATTTTTCTATCAAATAAAAATTAAATAGATTTTATAATAATTTGTGCTGTAAATGATGTGTCTTTATTTTTAAAATTAAGAATTTTGATCCATAATTCTTTGTGCTAAAATTACATACTTACATTATCATCCCATAGCGAGCTGTTCCAGACTATTATAGAATTTTGATTTGTTCTTATTAATAATGAATATGTAATTTTTTATGTTTGAATTTATCTCATAAAATTATTATTATCTTAATGTTTCTCATGAATTTTTTTAAATAAAAAATTATAATTAATAAGTGTCCCTTCTAACTTAATTTTTTGATTCCGCCAATGCTGGTAGGAACATGTTCTTGTGTGAAAGTACATACATAGATTCATACAACATGAGAGAGAGAGAGAGAGAGAGAGAGAGAGAGAGAGAGAGAGAGAGAGAGAGAGCACGTAGAGAGAGAGAGAGAGAGAGAGAGAGAGAGAGAGAGAGAGAGAGAGAGAGGACCTAAGTGAAGAAGGGAGCTCTGGAAGTAGGTGGGCCTTCCTTCTATGGACAGGGTTGACGAACATAAAAAACCTATCTGCCCAATCAACTTTTTGATCTTCTTCCATTGATTTGGTTTGTCCATACCCTTCAACATCACCTGGCTGTATCTTGAATCTCATTTTCTCTTCAGAAGGAAGCATGTAGAATTCTTCAATTTCATATTTCAGTTTCTCCACTAGTAAAGAGCTAACTCCATGGTTTACCAACTGCAAGCATCAGGACTAGTATTAGTATGTATTTTCATTTTCTACAGATGGTCGCCCACATACATCTTATTATGATAATTCTATACAAGGCTGTTTGGAAAAACCATATTAATCTATTAATATTCAAAAAAATTATTTTCTTCTTGTTTTATGCTGTGACTTGTTCTTTTTCTAGAATCAAGATTACTTATGGGAAAATTTCATGGTTTATGTACAGAATCCCTACACTTTACTACGAGTTCAAGGGTTTGAATCTTGCCATCCGTCATTCAGATCAGAGTCGTAAAAATAAAATTAAACAAAAAATGAAGATATATGGTAGATCAAAACCTGAAAGATACCCCATTCTTTGCATGCGGCGTGCAACTTCTCTAGTTTAAAATCTGTTGCGTCATCCCTAAGTAATTGTTGCATGTCAACGATAGGAATCATTTGGAGAGAAGTGGCATCTTCTGAGAGAATTGATGAAGGTTCATTATCTAAACGAACATAGCGCTCTGGGATGCCAAGCATGGGCTGTTTGGCAAGCTCTTGAATGCTCAGTGAACTCCCTAACCCCTTTGCTTTTGATGATGCCATTGCTTTCAAGGGTTACAATTGCAAACACCTAAGATAAGTATTTATACTCAAAAAAATACAAGTCAGTACACAAGACTTCTATTAAAGTAGAGTTTGAGATTGTAAAATGTATACAGTTTTATTTCTATTTTTGGTGAGTATGTTTTTGTGACTTCAACCCAATATAAATAAGATAAATGCATATTGTATTCAAGAATGGATCTATTCCAGGGTGGCAACCAAGAACAATTTCAACAAAATTTCTTATTATACTAGTATTCACTATGAATTATCTCTAAAATATATAACCTCCCCTCCACGTTTTCAAAAAAAGTTTTGGTAGTTTGTCCTTCGATATATATATATTAATGTATATTGAGGGACAAAATCTATTTTACCTCTGTATGGTATGACTTAATAGTACTTTACTCATGTCTTTTAAAAATAACTATATGCCTTCTATGTAGTTTTGGACTAAAATACAACTATTAACACCGTTAACTCTATATGTAAAATGACTATAATACCTTCAAATTCTATATTTTTTTTGTTATTATCTTTTTTTCTCATCTCTTATACACATAATTTATAATGTCTAGTACTAATTCAATTAAATCACAATTAATTATAAATTTTTAATTATTTATTGTAATTCTTAAATTTTTATTCTAATTTTAGTTTAGTTGTATTTTAGATCACAATTAATCCTAAATATTGAACTATTTATTGTAATTACTAACTTTTTAATCTAATTTTAATTAATTTATATTTTATATTACAATTAATTCAAAATTATTAATTATTTACTATAATTTCTAACTTGTTAATCTAATTTTAATTTAATTACATTTTAGATCAATTCTTATTTATTGTTTATTTTATATTTTAAATCAATTCTTAATTATATTTTATATTTTAGATCAATTCTTAATTATATGTTAGTTTAATTTATTTTATTTAATTAACATATTCATCTAATTTTAGGTTTGGAGAAAATTGGGATAAAATTGTCCTTTTGTTGTATTAATTTCATTCTAGTTTTTCAAAAACAAATCCACTACAAAAATGGTGTGTGTAATGTACCTTCCGTTACTTTGGATTGACAAAACAAATCGTAGCACTTTAGTTCAAAACCAAATAAAGGCTTTCTGACTATATTTGAACCACATGGGGTAAAGTGCTCTAACCCAAACCACAAATGAATTTAACCCTATACTAAGCTTTGTTAATTAATACCTAAATAAATGTATTATTGATTGTATTTTGATTTGGATAAATTACAAATATATCCCTAGGTTTATATAAAATATGGATTGCTTACTGTGATTTTAAAAATTATACTTTAACCCTTTCAGTTTCTAATTGCATAACACATGACCTGTTTTATTAATAATCATCAAGTCAATTTACAGTTTTAATGATATCAGAAGTATATTTCAATTAATAATTTAAGTAATTTTTTTATTGTAATAGAAGAATAGTTCGAAATTTTATTTGTTTTATTAATTTTACTAAGTAAAAAATTATGAAAAAATGATATTTATAATTTTTAAATTTATAAGAAACAATTCATATTTTAAGTTAGTGTATTTGTGTTTTACCGTTTTGATTTTTATTTGAACAGTTTTGCAACCATTGTCAAAAGTAGAAAAGCAAATGTTATTAGGTGTTATCTTACTCTTTTTATTTTATTTTTATTACTTCGCTACGTTTTGTAATTTTTACATTCAGTTTATAGGTTTTTGGAGTTCTGGAATTTTAGGTAAATTATTGGGGGTGTTGTTGTGCCAGCAGCTTGCTGTGACTTGTAATGGGAGTTGATGTGGAACTTTTTTTGACAATCTAAACTGTTGTAGAATTCACCGAGTCTATCGTCCGTGTAAAAAATTTAGTTAATTCAACATTCATAACTGTATGATCAGGTCCAAAATATTCTTTAAAAAGTTATCAAAATGATGATAACCGTTAATTTAAAATAAATAAAAATAAATGTAATGTTGTTATGAAAAGGCAAGGGGCGCAAACCATCATAGCAAAAGTAAATTATGCCAACTAGATTGTCATCGGAAAAATAAAATGAAAAAAAAAAAAAGAGAAAACAAAAAGCACAATCATTGAGTTGAGTTATTGCCGACAATGTTATTTCCACGTGAAAAATGCACTATAATAAACAATACTTTCAAGTGAAGTCCGAACTAATAGTACATTATTATATTGTATCACTCATCTTGGGTGCATGTGCTAATCTAATCAGGGTAACCTCTCTAAGCATTAATGTTGTTTTTCTCCTATTTTTCCCTTCATTGATGTTTTTGTGTGCGTACTTGTAGTTAGTTTTTGCATCAATAATACTTATCTTTTTCACCGATAAAAAAAATATATTGTACCATCATGTTGTGTTTGTATGTGATCATGCCAAGTACTCCAAATATTTCAAAAAAAAAAAAAAGTTAAGTAAGTACTCCAAATATTTCAGCTTTGTCAATGTGAAGTTAATATGCATCTAATAAAGGAAACCTATATGTATTTCTGTCTCTTTTATGTTTCATAATTCATAGCAATTCCAAGTCTTATTTGGGAATTAAATATTTTAGTGAAAAAGTTAATATAAGTTAATATAAGTTATTATGTCACATTTTCTGCTTTTCTACATATAATTTGAAAAAAAAAGTTAAAAAATAATTAAAATAGCGTGCTCTCCAACGAAACCTAAATAATAAAAAGTTGATAAAGTGCTTTTCATTTAAAATGATGCACTGATTTTGAAGCAACAATATTAAACTTTCTAATTTTTCAAAAAACAAATCCACTACAAAAATGGTGTGTGTAATATACCTTCCGTTACTTTGGATTGAAAAACAAATCGTAGCACTTTAGTTCAAAACCAAATGAAGGCTTTCTGACTATATTTGAACCATGTGGGGTAAAGTGCTCTAACCCAAACCACAAATGAATTTAACCCTATACTAAGCTTTGTTAATTAATATCTAAATAAATGTATTATTGATTGTATTTTGATTTGGATAAATTACAAATACATGCCTAGGTTTATATAAAATATGGATTGCTTACTGTGATTTTAAAAATTATATTTTAACCCTTTCAGTTTCTAATTGCATAACACATGACCTGTTTTATTAATAATCATCAAGTCAATTTACAGTTTTAATGATATCAGAAGTATATTTCAATTAATAATTTAAGTAATTTTTTTATTGTAATAGAAGAATAGTTCGAAATTTTATTTGTTTTATTAATTTTACTAAATAAAAAATTATGAAAAAATGATATTTATAATTTTCAAATTTATAAGGAACAATTCATATTTTAAGTTAGTGTATTTGTGTTTTACCGTTTTGATTTTTATTTGAACAGTTTTGCAACCATTCTCAAAAGTAGAAAAGCAAAGGTTTTTATTTTATTTTTATTACTTCGCTACGTTTTGTAATTTTTACATTCAGTTTATAGGTTTTTGGAGTTCTGGAATTTTAGGTAAATTATTGGGGGTGTTGTTGTGCCAGCAGCTTGCTGTGACTTGTAATGGGAGTTGATGTCGGACTTTTTTTGACAATCTAAACTATTGTAGAATTCACCGAGTATATCGTCTGTGTAAAAATTTTAATTAATTGAACATTCATAACTGCATGATCATGTCCTAAATATTCTTTAAAAAGTTATCAAAATGATGATAACCGTTAATTTAAAATAAATAAAAATAAATGTAATGTTGTTATGAAAAGGCAAGGGGCGCAAACCATCATAGCAAAAGTAAATTATGCCAACTAGATTGTCATCGGAAAAATAAAATGAAAAAAAAAAGAGAAAACAAAAAGCACAATCATTGAGTTGAGTTATTGCCGACAATGTTATTTCCACGTGAAAAATGCACTATAATAAACAATACTTTCAAGTGAAGTCCGAACTAATAGTACATTATTATATTGTATCACTCATCTTGGGTGCATGTGCTAATCTAATCAGGGTAACCTCTCTAAGCATTAATGTTGTTTTTCTCCTATTTTTCCCTTCATTGATGTTTTTGTGTGCGTACTTGTAGTTAGTTTTTGCATCAATAATACTTATCTTTTTCACCGATAAAAAAAATATATTGTACCATCATGTTGTGTTTGTATGTGATCATGCCAAGTACTCCAAATATTTCAAAAAAAAAAAAAAGTTAAGTAAGTACTCCAAATATTTCAGCTTTGTCAATGTGAAGTTAATATGCATCTAATAAAGGAAACCTATATGTATTTCTGTCTCTTTTATGTTTCATAATTCATAGCAATTCCAAGTCTTATTTGGGAATTAAATATTTTAGTGAAAAAGTTAATATAAGTTAATATAAGTTATTATGTCACATTTTCTGCTTTTCTACATATAATTTGAAAAAAAAAGTTAAAAAATAATTAAAATAGCGTGCTCTCCAACGAAACCTAAATAATAAAAAGTTGATAAAGTGCTTTTCATTTAAAATGATGCACTGATTTTGAAGCAACAATATTAAACTTTGTGTCGTACTTAAGAAGAGTCGGTTACATGCTTTTTATTTTTAATTTGTTTTCATCATTCTTCTTTATTTAGGGTTTATAAGTTACAATCAAAATAAATTAAACAAATTTATCTTATTTTTTAACTATTGCATCCTATATTAGTTGAGATCTTCTCCACCCCTAATTAACAAATGTTGTATATCACCACCCAACATACAAAAGAACAAAAACACCTATGACATAATAAAAGAAAATACCAGAACTATGAGTTTTAGCAACTTATAAAATTATGATGGAGTAGTTGTCATGTATGTGGCTAAAACAAGTATATATATTTTAAACTATTAGTTAAGAGTTGAAAAAGAAACCAAAAGGAAAGCTGTGGATGACCACACAAAAATAAATAAATAACTAATAATAATAAATAAAATAAAATAAATTTTGAATATTAGTTTGATATCATGTCATTATCAACATGTAGTATTATTAATTAATAACAAATTGTTATATAAATAACCCAAATAATGGAACCTAAGCAAGGAGAGCATGGAGGGTGGATTCCTGTGGTGAAACAGAGGCAAAGTAGAGGAGTATGGGGCAAAAATCCAACGAAAGGCTGGTTCACTGTGTTTGTGGATAATCTACCACACTCATTGGAACCTAAAGGTCTGTTCAAACTTTTCACTAAGTTTGGAATAGTTAAGGATGTGTTTATCCCACAAAAGAGAATGAAGGTAACAAACACCAGGTTTGGATTCGTGAGATTCAACTGCTCAGTTGCAGCAAGCATATCAGTTCAAAAAGCAAATGGATCGTGGGTGGAGGATAAGGCACTTGAAGTGAAATATGCAGAGTATGGCAGAGAACAAAATAGGAAAACATCACATTTCAATCCCACCAGTAGAGATCCTTTAGATAAAGTAAGAGTTGGAGTAGCTCACATCCAATGTAATGAAGGAGTGCCCATCAGTAAATCCTTTGCTGAAGCACTTAAAACATGTATAGGTACATCAGAAGGTAAGCTTTGCAATACCATTAAAGTGAATCAAGACGGCCAAGGGTGGCTACATGAAAGTTTACTCGCAAGACTCAAAAATGAGTACACTTTATCCAGCATTAAGCAAGTACTAAGAGATAAAGGGTTGGGCCATACTATTGTTAGAAAAGGAGGAGGGAGGGATGCTATTTTAACATTTCAGTCCAAAGAGGAGATGAAAACAAATTTCAGCTCAGTAAATGAATGGCTGAAGGAGTGGTGTGAATTTGTTACGGAATGGAAGCCAAACATGCACTTCGATTAGGAGAGATGCTTATGGTTGAGGTGCTATGGTGTCCCATTAAATTTGTGGAACAGAGATACATTCAGCAAATTAGGAGGCATTTAGAGAAAGGACCTCCATATTGATGGAGATATCAGTCATCCAGTATCATTCTGCTATGGCAGAGTTAGGATTGCAACTAAATGTATGGAATGGATCAATAAAGCAATCAATCTGGAGTGCAAGGGCACAGTTGCTTCAATCTTGGTCTGTGAAGAACAGTTTACTGATGTGAGTGATCACAATTTATCCATTGATGTAGAGGAAATTTGTAGCTCCAATAAGGTTGTCAAAAAAGAACATGAAGGACCTATAAGGCTCGAGAAAGAAGAAGGTGCAATGGCAAAGAGAGTGGAAATGGCTGATGTTGAGCTGGCATCTTTTGATGATGTAGCTCTTGATCAGAGGTCAGAAAATATCTGTGGTAGTGATGAGTTGGACAAGGTAAATGGAAATTCAAAAGAAGAACATCATTGTAGTAGAGATGTGGTGGATACAGTAGTCAAAGAGACCAAAGAAGGCATGGGGAGCAACTTTGAGGTTGATGCACGAATGGCCAATCCAAAAAAAGAAAAGGCTGTTGAACTCAGGCATGTTGATTCTTATGACAATCAGAGGTTAGTTAGCCATCTATACACACCTGGTTTTATTAGAAACCTCAGTACATCTATTGGGCTTAGGCCTGGCATAAATTTAGAGATTGATTTAGGCAATATTATCCATCATCATGGCCCAATTGATACAAATCTCAATAGGATTGTTCCTATTAGCTCTGCCAGTGATGGTTCAGTTGTTGGGCCCATAAAAGGCAAGTTAAAGACAGATACATCCCATGTTAAAAGGGACCAACTTGGGACCAATAAGCTCAAAACTAAAGCCAAATTGAAAGGGAACAAGAAAGGTAAGTCTAAAATCCTCTTTCAGTTTGAAATCATCTCTAACTATGTCAGATTTCATGGGCATAAAAGAGTCTCCTCGAGTAAGCTTCCTCTAAAAAAGGTTGTCTTCAGAGCAGCTGTTGCAGCTATGACACTTTCAGTTTCATCTGAGAATGGTGATAAAAGGGGAAGATATGTTCTAAACGAAGCTCAAGCTACAATGCAGACGGGGAAAATACTAGGGCTTACATTCAATGGCAAGAAATCCGATACAATAAACAAAATTGTTGAACTAGAGCTCAAAGACAAGGAAAGAAATGGGGAAAGGGAACAAGGAAGACAGTAAATAGGTCCAACCAAGGTGAATTTTGGTGCTGAATTTGTTATCAATGAAGCTACTATCATGGAATATTAGAGGCTTGGGAAAAGCAGTGAAAAAATGAAGGGTGAAGAAACTAGTTAGGGGGAGGCAAATAGAAATTGCATTTTTTCAAGAAACAAAAAAAAATTTAATCTCAGAGAATGAAGTCAGAGCCCTATGGTCAAGGAGAAACATGGAGTATATGTCAGTTGATTCAGAAGGATCTGCTGGAGGCCTGCTGTGCATTTTTGGGACCCAGAGATCTTCAAGCGTCATGGCTGCTGCAGCAGTAGGAGATTCATTCTCCTCTCAGGTACATTTCTAAATTCGTTTGACTGTGTTTTGCTGAATGTATATGCTCCCAATGATGCCAGCAGTAGGAACATATTATGGAAAAGTCTTGTTAAGCTAAAGAGTATTTTTCCTAATCCATGGTGTATGGGAGGTGATTTCAATGAGATAAGAAATAATGGGGAAAGGATTGGCTGCTCTAGAAGGGACAAATGGATGAAAGAATTTAATGAATTTATAGATAAATGTGAGTTAACTGACTTATCAATGCTTGGAAGGAAATACACCTGGTGTAATGCACAAGAAAATGAGAAGTGGAGTAGGATTGATAGAATTATGCTCAGTCCTGAATGGTTAATCTCTTTCAAACTGAAGTTATGGGGCTTACCTAGATTGTTATCTGATCACTACCCTCTCTTGATAAGGGAGGATGTGAGGGATTGGGGCCCAAAGCCATTCAAGTTTATCAATGCTTGGACTTTTTACTCGAATTTTCCCTTTTTTTGTGGAAAAACACATGGAAGGAAACTACAGTCAGAGGTGGTCCTGGGCAAGCTCTTTTGCAGAAGCTAAAGCTACTGAAGCTAGCTCTCAAGAAGTGGAATAGTGAAGTTTTTGGTAACATGTCAACAAATCTCAAAGCAGCTGAGGTAGAATCACATGATCTAGGCATATCTGCTGAAGAAAGGCCATTGCTTGCATCAGAAAGAGATAAAAGAAGGGTGTTGCAAAATGAAATCTGGAAGCTAAGCAAAATGATGGAATGAATGTGGCAGCAGAAATCTAGAGTTAATTGGACTCTAAATGGGGACAGAAACACTAGATTTTTTCATGTAATGGCCAGTTGTAGGCAAAACAGAAATATCATCAATACTATCTCTGTAAATGGAGTAATCCATGAAGAGCCTGATACAATCAAGCAAGAGGCTCTGTTACACTTCAGGAAGCAGTTCACAGAAGTCTAGGCCAGTAGGCCATCCTTGGGTGGAGTGTTCAAATTAGTGTAAGTGAACCATCATTTCCAAGAGCTAGAAACAGAATTCTCTGAAGCTGAAATTAAGGCAGCTATAAAGGAGTGCAATGGCAATAAAGCTCTAGGTCTAGATGGCTTCAACTTGCTTTATTTCCAGAAATATTGGAAGGTTATGAAAAAGGAGATTCTCATGCTTATGAAAGATTTTCACACTTATTACAAACTTGCATATGGGATTAGTAGCTCTTTCATCATTCTTATCCCCAAAAATGAAAATCCTGTGGGATTGGGGGACTACAAACCTATCAGTTTGGTGCGCTCCATTTATAAGATCCTTTCTGTAACGCCCGAAATAATTCAACATGAACTACCCATAAATAATCAACATTTACCCAACAACAACAATAATCTGCCCATCTCCACATCATTACTAATGAGTCTTTACAAAGGTTTTACATGTGGGTATACATTCATCAATACAAACATATGAATCTATGACATGTAAAGCATCCATTCTAAAAAACAATACAATGCCCTTAAGGGCTTACATCTTCCAAGGCATAAGTCTGGTTACACAAAAGATGGTTTCCGTAACCCACACACATTAGCCTTTGGCTCAAAAAGAATTACACAAAATAAAAGAGCTATGTATTCTTCTCAAAACATCCACGCCTTCAGTTCGGTGGGTTCACCACATCTTTACCTGCACCAAATCCCATAGGGGTGAGCACAAAGTCCAGTAGAGTATTCTCACAAAGTATATACAGTTATGCTTTTTCCTCAACATAAAAACAAATGTAATTGCAATGCCATGCCATGATTAGGGTATAGAGGAAAAATATTCATTTCAATGCACCATTCCAAAATCAACCTACTCTCAATACCATCATATGATCTCATCAATTTCAAACTTCCATTATTAATTCAATAGGGGCGATAAATACGACACTGGTAATCCCTAGGCCGATGTCAGCAAGTAGACTCTACGAGTACTACCAAACTGTCATTTTTACCAATATTAACCGGAAGACTCGACACCTATCCGCGCGGCTTTCGGGTCTTTCACCCTGGACACTCAGGCCAATTTATCAAATTCATCTACACCTCATATCCGGACTTACCAACGCATTTACCCCTTACACATTTTCATAGTTCTCAACACAACAACTATTTCTTTTTCTCATGATGGAAATCTCAATGATTTAGATTCATAATGCACTATAATAAATAAAATAACATGCAATGCAAATGATCCTTTCCATAACTTGAGACATTTCTCCACTTTTGAGTATCTCTACTACAATATCAACATTTACATTCTCATATTCTCTTTTCAATGTTCATCCACATGATTAATATATTTCATCAACACGTAGTCACAATTTTCATATCACAAGACATAACAAATTAGTTTCGCCACAACCTTACTCATTTATGTACTGCCAACAATTTAACATTAACACCTTATTTTCATATAACAAGTAATTTTTCATTTTTGCCAAACATTGATGCAACTCACTCTCTTCATCATTTTAAAACAAAAAAATAAGAAATTTCAAAGACATTTGCCATATTACCAAAATCCCCAATTTCTAGGATTTTTCTCAAAACAATCATTTCCCATTTCATGGTGAAAACTCTCACCCAAAACATTTCTTTTCTTAGGTCAACAAGATGAACCCTCAAGGATTAACCAAAAATTTAGAGTTAAAAGAGAAACCCTCTTTTGAGGACAACCTTCACTTTTGAAATCACAAGGCTAATGTCATCACAAACTGGAAAGAACTCTTAAATCATCATAAAAATGGCAAAACTAGTATATATAACTCAAGAATATCCTTACCTCAAAGTAGAAGCCCAAGGAGAGGGTTAGACAAAGGTGAAGCTTCCAAAAATAGCAAAACCCACTTCTTCTTGGATGGAAATGAAGATCTTGAAGAGCTCTATCTTTTTGTCTAAGGAAGGAGGATGAGAAGACCACTAGATCTAGGTTAAATATAGAGAGAGAGGGTATTTCTAGAGAGAGAAGCTCTCAACCTAGGGTTTGGATGAAAAGGAGATGAAAAAGTTATGTAAAAAGTCATTTTTACGATATGATATATGCGAATCCTACTCGAGCGGAGAGTTTAACGCTCGAGCATCAGACACAGCAACAACAACTCGCTCGAGCGCAAAGAGAACCGCTCGAGCGTGGATTTTACCCGCCCAGTATTTCCCAGATTGCAGACAGTCGCTCGAGTTCAGACACGCTCGAGCGTGAAAAACACTCTTGCAGCACTTTTGCAGAGGCACTCGATACTGAAAGGTTGCAAACTCCGCTCGAGCGCAAGAAGTCCCACTCGAGTGGAAGACCGAAAATTTGGACAACAAGATTCTAGACCGAAAAGCAACCAACCTGTTCTAAACACGCTCAAGTCATTCTAAAACTCAAATTCAAGAGGTAGAAGGAAGAAAGACATAACCAACAGCATCAAACAACAAGATTTGGATTCTGAATACCATGACAGTCGGGTAGAGACCCGGGGTCGCTATACTTTCAAAAGTCCTAGCACACAGGCTGAAAAAAGTTATTCCCGAAGTTATTAGTGTCACTCAGTCTGCTTTTCTTGGAGATAGGAATATTTTGGATGGTGTACTCATTGCCAATGAAGTTGTGGATGGCTGGAAAAAATCCAAGAAGAAAGGTATCATTATCAAACTTGATTTCAAAAAAGCATTTGATTTAGTCAATTGGAACTTCCTTTTTTCCTTACTCTCTAACTTTGGGTTTGTACAAAATGGCTTTCTTGGATGAAAGAATGTATTTCCTCAGCAAGGCTTTCTGTTCTAGTTAATGGATCTCCAACTACAGAATTTTCTCCACAAAGAGATCTGAGGCAAGGTGACCCCCTTTCACCATTTCTGTTCAACTTAGTAGTAGAAGGGCTCAACATTCTCATGACTAGAGCTTATGAGTTGAATCTTCTTAAGGGTGTGAAAATTGAGAGGAATGAAGTAGTCATTTCCCACCTTCAATTTGCTGATGACTCAATTATTTTCCGTGAAGCAGATAGGGAGCAAGTAGTGAACATTAAAAGAGTGTTAAGATGCTTTGAGTTGCTATTTGGACTAAGCGGAGGAAAACTGTATAAGAGAGGTCATCTAGGAATGCATAAGCTGTGTGTTGAGGCTGAAGAGTCGAAGCGCCTCATGGAGGCCATCCATGGAGGAAAGTGCGGAGCGCACGTGAACGGGGTGATGCTAGCCCGAAAGATCCTCAGACAGGGTTATTACTGGTCTACCACGGAGGAGGATTGTATCGGCTTTGTTCGACGATGCCACAAATGTCAGATCCATGCAAACCCCATAAACATCTCGCCATCGAAGCTGTGTAATATGACTTCGCCATGGCCATTTTCAGTTTGGGGAATCGATGTGATTGGGGCTGTCACTCCGAAGGGGTCCAATGGGCATGAGTTCATTCTGGTCGCGATAGACTATTTCACAAAGTGGGTTGAGGCCCAATCTTATGCAATGTTGAAGGCGTCGCACGTTGCGAAGTTTATCAGGAACAACATCATCTGTCGCTACGGGGTCCCGAACGAGATTATCTCGGATAATGGTTCCCATCTCAAGAAGGAAGTGATTGATTTATTGGAGAAATACAACATGGCTTTTCATAAGTCATCCACATATCGGCCGCAAACCAACGGAGCAGTTGAGGCCGCCAACAAGAGCATCAAGCGTATTTTACAAAAGATTGTGGAAACCTACCGGGACTGGCTAGATAAGCTGCCATTTGCTCTGTGGGGCTACCGAACTTCAATTAGAACTTCTACTGGGGCGACTCCGTATTTATTGGTCTATGGGATAGAGGCTGTTCTACCTATCGAGATTGAAGTTTCGTCTTTGCGAGTGTTGACTGAGTGTCAGATAGCCAAAGCAGATTGGCAGTAAAGTAGATTTGAGGAACTCATGCTCTTTGATGAGAGGAGGCTAAAAGCACTGTACCATGTTCAAGGTTATCAACGAAGAATCACCAAGGCTTTCAACAAGAAGGTTAAGTCCAGAAATTTGAAGGAAGGAGACTTGGTGCTCAAGGACAACCGAGCCCCCATCCATGACCCTAGAGGCAAGTTCAGACCCCATTGGACTGGTCCCTACATCATTAAGTCTATCTGGTCAGGAGGAGCTGTCGTTCTGATGGACCTAGATGGCCTAGATGTCACGCCCTCAAACCTGCCCCTAAAAGTTTGGGCATGACCCGTTCAAAAACGAACATTTAACCTGATGTACATAACATACGGGGCCTTATTGGAAGCACCTAATATGAAAATAATGATACATATAAACTCCATTGAGCTACTTCTACATGCCAGGATCTCATACAACACATGCATCATAGTAGATAGATAAAGTCCCAAACTATATCACGGAGCATCGGTTATACAAACACATATACAGTCCCAGCCCTATAATTGGGCATATACAAAAACCACTGAAGTTATATACATTCAACCTTAGATAGGCAATCAAAAAGTAGGCCAATCATCCTAACGAACTTCACAAAATAAGTAGCCTTGTAAAGTGCCTGGACACACGAAGGTTGACAGAAGAAAACGGGTGTCATGGCTAGGACTGACCACCTGGTTCGTTACCTATAGAAACAGACATAACACAGAGTAAGCCAGGCTCAGTGAATAGCAATACTTAAATAAAATGATGCTTAACTTGAAATATAATACATCAAAGCGTCAGAAGATGCACACATAGTTAGTCTGATTCTGTACTAATCTCATAACGGCCTTAGGCCCATTCTTGAAACGTAATGGCTTGAAACATAGTATCTTGAGACATGATGGCTATAAGCCTTTAAACGTAGTGGCACAAAGCCCTTAAACATGGTGGCGTTAAGCCCTTGAACATAGTGGCACGAAGCCCTTGGATAAGTTGGCATTAAGCCCTTGTACATAGTGGCACGAGGCCCTTGGATAAGTTGGCATTAAGCCCTTGAATCATTTGGCATTAAGCCCTTGAACATGCTTGTTTGAACTCAAGAGGTGTCTCACACGGATTCTAGAGGTGACTCACTTCGTAACACTTAGTTCCGTGTAGCACTTTGTTTCATATCATAACAACTTATACGGAATGGCCATAGGCCTCGAGTCTTACAAACACTTTGAGTCATGTGAAAGTATTTCATTATTTCCTTAATTTCTTTTCATGCTTGACTTCACTTTTCATGCTTGACTTCATTCATACAGTTACATACATAATAGTCATACGTTAATAGAATGCTAATTCATTAGCTATACGTGAAGCGTACTACTACTCACAGTGTTGTGATGACATGCTTGTTCCTCCTGGGGTGTACCCTGCACACATTCAAAACTTACAATTTAGTTCAGCTTTCATATCAAATTACTTCCTATTTCGCTTTACTTCAAAGGAATTAATACATATCGAAATGGCATCAAATATATATTTCGACAATATTAGAGGGTCCTACACACAAAACGGAGCAATCCATGTTTTTCTGCATGGGCCGCACGTGCGGCTATGAGCCCCGCACATGCGGCAAAATCCCCCACACGTGCCTTTTAAGCAGAACCAAACCCTCAAAATTCAACATTTGCCGCACGTGCGGCAGTGACTGCCGCACGTGCGGCGAATGCCCTGTTTCAGCCCGAAAATTGCAGCAAACCTCATTCTTTTGGGAGTGTTTGTAAGGTTCTAAGATGGATCTTTTCATTGCTAAATCATGGTTCAAAAAGCATATAATTCAAAGTACAACATACAACAATCTAATCTTGAATTATACCCATGAACACAACTCAATTTGATTGACCAAAGGTTGAAACTCATAATACAATTCCATATCTTGAAGTTCTCAACTTCACATGCACATGTTATAACATAGGTACACAAAATCATGATCATAAGAATGAATACGAACTTGATACTGAAGAACACATAAATGATAGGATTATCATACAAAAACTTCAACACACACATCCCAGACTTTCATCACACTCTAGATCATACCAAATCAAAAACTTTCTCTTCCAAATTAAGGAAGAGGATTGGACTAGGGAAATTAAACTTACCTTAGCTTCAATCCCTCTAAATTCTTCCTTGTTCTTATCCTTTCTTCATTTTTCTCCCAGAGAATGTTTTATGAGAAGGTTCCTAAGTCTTGAGCTCAAGAGAAGCTCATAGACATACATATATAAAGAGTGAATAAAGACGAAAATCAATCGTTTAAACATCCGAAATTGAAATTTCCAAAAAATGCTTAATATTACCTAAAAATTATGCTGATCCAGGCTCAGTGAATAGCAATACTTAAATAAAACGATGCTTAACTTGAAATGTAATACATCAAAGCGTCAGAAGATGCACACATAGTTAGGAAAGTGTATTATGTGGAGTTGGTGTTGATAAAGGGTTACTTTTTTGCTTTGCTGATCTCCTTAATTGTAAAGTGCAATGGGCTACCATTAAAATTCTTGGGTTTATCTCTTGGTGAAAATCATGGAAGAAAGTCCACCTGGAAACCTGTTTTAGACAAAATCAAGTCAAGACTAGCAGGGTAGAAGAGAAGACTACTATCCTTCGCATGTAGGCTTACCTTAATCAAATCAGTGTTGTCTCATCTACCAATCTGTTATCTATCCCTGTTCAAAATGCCTGTGGGAGTGGCCAAAGAGATAGAGAAAATTGAAGCAAGTTTCCTATGGGGAGGTTTTGACCTAAAGAAGAAAATTCATATGGTGAAGTGGATAGATGTCACTAAAAGCATAAGTCTTGGAGGATTAGAAATAAGAAGAATCACTCATGTTAATGCTAGCCTTTTATTAAAATGGTGGTGGAAGCTTGGAAGTGATTTCACTGCTCTTTGGAGAAAGATGCTTTGTAGCAAATACCTGATTGATGAATTCAGGTGGCAACCATCTTTGAGGACTTCCTGCAATTACTCTAGAGTGTGGAGTGATATCATCTCCCTTGCCATTCACAGGCAACCCCTCTGTAATTTCTTTTTGGACAACTTTCTCATTAAAATTGGTGATGGAAGAAGAGTCAGATTTTGGCTGGATAAATGGTGTGGAAACATCTACCTAAAAGATGAATTTCCTAGTCTTTTTAGATTATCAACAAATATGGAAGACACACTATCTTTTTACTATGCAAGAAGATCAACTTCAAGGGATTGGAATTTACCTTTTAGAAGAGCTCCATATGAATGGGAAAATGAGGAGATTGCTAGGTTGTCAAATGTATTATCAGCTGCTCCCTTACTCAGGAATGGAGTGAATGACAGCCCTGTTTGGCTGGGTTCAAACTCAGGTATTTTTAAAGCTGCTGATGTGTATAAATTTTTCCCTACTTCTCTTGGTCCCAAGTTCTCAATCTGCAAATTCATATGGAATAAAGACATCCCTCCCAAAATTCAATTCTTCAGCTGGTTGGCATGGAGAGACATAATGAAATCAGCTGTTTACCTTCAGAAAATTGGGATTCTTGGTATCAATGCTGCCACTTTATGTACTTTCTGCAGAACAGAACCTGAGTCAGCTACTAATCTACTTCTTTTCTGCTCATTTTCCTCGAGCATTTGGGCAGAAATGATGCAGTGGTGGGGGCTTCAATGGGTGATACCTAGTTCAATTGATAATCTTTTCCATTGGTGAAAGGGTGACAAGTTTAAAAGACTTGAAAGGAGGATCTGGGATGCTTTACCTCTTATTGTTCTTTGGTCACTTTGGAAGCAGATGAATGATTGCATTTACAATGAAGCGCAACCTAATTGCTTTGAGTTGAGTGAGCTTATAAAGCTTAGGCTTGCACTATGGTTCAAGGCCTCAGTAAAAGACATCCATTACTCTGTGACTGACTTAATTTTCAATCTCAATCATGTTAGAGCTTGTCTGGGTGGCAGGGTTCGTTGCAATTTACAATGACATCCAAGTCTCCTGGTGTGCAGCAGCTGGCGTTTATGGTCTTGCTGTGTATCTAGGCTTTTTGCAAATTTTGGCATGAGAATTTGGGTTAATCTTGGTGAAGTTTGTATCAGAAATGGGGGCTCAATGATTTGCAAATTAGGCTGAATTGCTGATCTGCTGCAAAGCAGAAACTTTGCTTCTTCAAGGAGGCCTAAAGGTCTTGTTTCAGAGCAAATGCATGTTGATCTGTGGCAGAGCAAAGTAAAGCAGAACCTTTGGGGGTGGTCATGGCAGATGTGGTAGCTTGTTCTTGTTATGTGGCTGGTCTAATCAAGGATCTGGTGCAATGTTTGATGCTGGGGTTAAGACCTGATCTGTTGTATGCTGCTGAAGTCTGCTGCTGGATGCTTCTGGTGTTTGTTGTCTTAGTGTGTATGTTGTAGGCGTATGCTGTATTATGGTGTATGATGCTGAATTGCAGCAGTATGCTATTGCTGTAGGCTGTTTTTGTTGTTCTTTTTTTTTTTGGGGGTTCCTCTTGATTGGCTTCTCATCAATCTTTGGGTTAGTGCTCGCATATGATTGTGCTTCCTTAGTGGTGCCAACCTAGTTGGGATTATTAAGGTTAGCGTTGATGTTTTTTGCACTTTCCATCTTTATTGATGTAAGTTTTAGCATATTTTTCTTTCTTCATTAATAAAATTTCTTTTTGCTGATAAAAAAAAAAAAACAAAAACAAATTGTTATATAGGTATACACAAATAAGTTTGGCAATATCAAATAATAGTTAAAAAGTCACTAAAAATGTCAAAAAATTAAAGAACTGCACAAAAAAATTTAAATATTATTTTTCTTTTTTTACTTTTTACACATAATTTTATAAATAAAAAAATCAAAAAAATCATCACAAAGATATTAATTTTTTTCAACTTATAGTTAGCCAAAAAATCAAATAGTTACTAAAATAATCTATTTCCAAACCTATCCTAAATTATTTTGGATCTAAAAATATAACATCTAACTGGTAAAATTTACCACCCTATATGTTACTTTATTTTTAAGGGAGCAACTCCCCTCATTTCCATTCTATACGGAAAATTAGTTTAATCTAGAATCAATAAGCAAATTAATTTATCATATTTTATTTTATAAAATAAACAATTTAGATTAAATCATATTTATCATCAATTTCATAAAGCAAAACACTAGCAATTAGTGTGTCTGTCGATTTCTAATCAAATTGATATTTTGCATATATATTTTTTTTTCTATGAGACAAATGAGATGAACGGTTTAGATAACCGTCATGGGTCTTCTAGGGCCTACAAAATGAAGTTTAGAGGGTTAGGAAAAAAACTAGAGTCTCTGAGGGGATTGCTTCCTATTATTAATTGATAGTATCACATGTCATAGTTCATCAACAGTAAGAACACATAAGAACACGCGTTTGCTAACAAAACAATAAAGTAAGAAACATGTATTAAGAAGAGGATTGGTCACCACCACGACCACTACTACTATACTTCAATCACCAATATCATCATTATCGCCGTCATTACACAACTGTTGTCATTGCTAGTCTGACACTACCGCCACCACCTTCGCCAACAACTCTGTACCCCACACAACCACCACCCCCAGAACTATCAAGCTATCTTACCACTGCACAATTATTGTTGCTACTATCGTTGCTGCTGCAACCACTGCCTGCGCACTACACCATGTGGCTAACAAGCCACCACCAAAAATAGAAAGTGTAAAAGAAAATTAATAAATTTCATATTTTTACATATCAAATAACTTTGATTAAATTCATTATTTAAATTACAATGAATTCTAAAAAGTTTTTCAATATTAAATTCTTATTTTTCATATTTCAGTTTAATGAAACAGCCAATTATTGATTTGAGAGAATTATGATAGTTTAATTTTCTAAAGAGGCAATGAATGATGATCTGTCGAGAACCGGTCCAGTTTTGACCATGGATGTTATTTTCACCGATTTCGTTCTACACCAGGCAAAAGCATTTTCTAAGCTCCATAATAGTTAAAAATGAAACGTGATTAGTCGTGGAATTTTCTAGAAAACACGTGCCTTTTTGCTCCAAATTTAGTGTTCTAATCTAATATTATATATATGGTAGATCAAGCAGCATGTGCTTGATAGGAAAAACTAATTGCTCTTAGGGGGCCACAGGGGATAGTCAAAAGTCAGCTGAACTATTAATTAAGTAATGAAATCGTCATCAATGATCAAAATAATTTCACCCTGATCAAGCATGTATTTTTTCTATTTTTCTTTTTGGAACAGAACAAGCATGTGTTTGGTGCACCAGTCTTGGCTTTCAATGAGTTGTACTACTTTCCTTCTCTTCCTTTTTGCGTCAATTTTTTTTTGTTTTTTAATTTTATTTTCTTAAATTCGGACAAGGGGATCATAAATTCAATTTTGAAACTTTTGGGGGTAATATCCTCAACTTCTAATACTTTGAAATCATAGGGAGAATAAAATTTTAAACCGCTATATTACCTTTACCAATCTATTATTTTACTTATCTGTGCACGTCACTTATTTGTCTAGTATCCCCTATTTGTCTACATGTCTATTCGCATGTGTTGGCACCATAAACTTGAAATCTTCTGTCGACAGGGGCATGGACATGTGCAAAAGAGGTCCAAGAGTCAATGCCATGAAGTTAGTGGCCCAAGGAAAGAAGATTAAGGATGTGTCCCAATTTTAGGAAGAAAGAGAGCTCCAAGTAGTTGCAGATCATGGGCAAATGTGAGAATCCAACAAATGGACACGTGACAACACAATATGGCCAGTAAAGCCATATAAAAGCTAGAAATTCGAAGAACAGAGGACCTTCAACCAAATTCACAACACATGTGAAAACTATGAGTAATGTAACTTATCTAGGAGTAGTTCTTGTACTTAGGAGTAGTTCATCTATAATTCAGTGTTTGTAACCCACTTTGGCCCCGTCAATTGTGATGTTATTTGAGCTTGTAATTTGATTCTTGTAATTAAGTGACAAGTTTAATTGTTATTCAATCGAATTTCAGTTGGTTTGTACTTGTTTCTTTACATTACAATCTCTAAACAAGTCCTTCAATCTGTCAAGGAATAGGACACCAACCACATTGCTAAATTGCACTTCTGTTTGTGAAAATTGCTTTCTCTGTTGAATCTTCTCTATCGATTTGACCCAAATCAGATTTTTGCTAACATATTTTAGCATGCCTAGTGGGACCTGTCTAATTTCGTGACAACCCCGTTCTGTGTTATGCTGTTGATCTCTAATTACACTTGTGATTATGTGGTTAGTATGAATTTGGATGCCAAGTATGTGATTATATGTGTTTTCAAACTCATATGTCCATTGTAGAGATATACGTACTATATTCTGTAATAATTTGGAATTAAGAGTCACAGCGTCGATAGAAATCGAAATTGTATCATTATGATTAGCATAATTTTTTAAGCCTACAGTGAAATTTAATCAAAAATTGATTCGGATCAAAATAATTATATTAAATTGATTAGAATTAAGTAGAATCGATTAGCCTAAATCAAGCTTAATTAACCTAAGCTAATCACCTACTATATATATGACTAACTAGTGTTTAGGCTCTCATAATTGAGCTCTTCC